TCATTATTCCAATATTAAATCATGATGCTTAAAATTAGTCAAACTTATAATTTTCCTAAATGTAAAATTGGACTTTTACATTTAAAGATACATATTTTTTAAACGCTATAACACTGTTTTGTAATAAAACGCTTAAATACGTTTATCTTCGGTTTATATTTAATTTTCAATGCATTTTATATATTCTCAAATTATTTCTGAAATTTATGAGGTTCCTTATAAAAGTTAAAATAATGCTTGCAAATGGTATGGATTATTTAAAAAGATTTCCCAATAAAATGTAAAAATGAAACTTGTTTTGTTGAGAAGTTTGTTGGTAAAAATCCTATATTATTAATCTAAAATTTTTGTTTTAAATTATTTAAATTAATTTATTAAATTATAATATATTTTATCTAAATTGTCTAAATCTAAATGTCTATTCTATAATTAATATTATTAGAATTATTTTTAGTGTAGAACATTCTTAAGTTTTACGTTTTCTTAAACGGATTCCAGTGTTTACAGTTTACATGTTATCAAACTCGAAGAAACGTTTATATTTAAATGTATGATTTCTTAATGCATTTTGATTTTTCAAAATAGCATTATTTACAGTCTTTATTTCTGATAGTTAATTTTTAGATTATATTTTTTAAAAATATTTCATAAGCCTTTGATGAAAGATTTAAATTTGAGGAACAGTGGATACGTTAAATTAGTAAATTTTTTTGTCGACAAATTCTTAGAAAACTTTTAACACATATTCTTTACGACTGTAGAAATAGTGCCTATAATAACTTTATTATTTTTGGTTTTAACTATTTATTTGCCAAAAAAAATCGTGAGTATGAACAATTCCTTTTTGAAAAAATTTCAATTTTGTGAATTTTAAGAAAAATAAAAAACGTATGAAATGCGCTTTAGCTTTTAAATCCCTTGACAAATTTAAGTTATCTATTTATCAGTGATGATTGTTTCACAATAACAAGATTTTTTTTCCTAATATTTTTCATCAGCTACAGCTCTGTTAAATAGTGACTAGATAATTACAATTTTAAATCATGGTGGTAATATAAATAAAAATTTTTATTCCTACCAGTCCAATAATTGGTTTACGATACCAATTTTTGATAAAAATATTATTATCATTCACTTCTAAAGATAGATTTAAATAATTAATTTTATTGTCATTTGATACTTCTAATGTGAATTTTTATTTTTTAATTGGCTCTCTAAAATTCAAAAGGATTATTTTACCATAGGGGATCAATTTATAGACCTTTTCCCTACTTTACAAATTTAAAATTTTGTAGGTATATTTTGACAGATTTTTGTAAAATTTTTAGAAAAACAAAAATGGGGAATTCATTTCATATCATTTGTTCAAGTGTACTGATTGGTGATATAGAATAACAAAGCTTGTAGGTTAAGTTGTGAATAAATTACAAAATTGTGTCATTTTATTCTTTTGAATATTTTAAAACTAAATATAGTGTTCGGATTGAGAAATATTGGTTTTTCTACATTTTATATTAAAATTAAAACTATTAAGGAAAAATTGTTTTTTTTATTTAAAATATATGGTTTAATATTTTTTTATTACATAAAACAGGGGTACTTTTTATAAACTTCAAATCTTAGGGGATAGAGCAAAAGAATTTGGACTTTTCTGTTCTTTGGACCATCCTAGTATACACGTTATTGACTACGAATGAATTAATGCTGTAAATAAGCTATTGTTAATTAATCGTAAGATTTGAAAATTAGAGAAATGTATTATAAAAATTTATTCGGATATTTTATTTCATTAGAAATATCGTATATTTTGAATATTTTGCTAATTTGTAGTAAATATTGCCTAAATACTCTAATTCTCGTTCATTTTTAATAGGATAGAAAATTTCCTATGACTACTTCTATATTTTTCCTTCATTTACTGGAAATAAGTTTTGATTTCTATTTTGATTTATTAAAGTACATTGACACTATCACCCGCTCTGAGCCAGTAGTTTCGGAGAGAAAGAATAAAACCTATTTTTGGTTGGACTTTTATTTCTGATAAAAATGTTTAATTTAAAAATTTATTATTTTTAATATTATATTATATATTTATCTGCGAAGTTATTTCCGATTACATTATGAAACTTACCGGAGTTGTAGATTACAGTTGCAGCTTCTTTTGCGAGAAAAAAAATTCGAAAAATATAAAATAACATTCTTGAGCGGACTTGAAGCATGAAAATCGAATAAATATAACTAAAGTTATAGCATTTATAAAAATATATGTCTTTAAATTGAAAAGTCCATTATTTTCACCATTTTTGAAGTTTTCTAAAAAAATACTTGCTTTTAATTTTTGTAACTATTAGTTTACAGTTAAATTCCATTCTTGGTCGGATTGATGTGAACTTCACAATCTCAGATTCATAAACAGACATCAATAACGCTTGAGAAAGCAGTTTCAATCAAATAATTCTCACAAACACTTAAAAATCTTGTTTTTATGTAAATTTCGAAATTTATCAGCATTTTACAATCCCTGGTATTTCAGTTACGTAACTTTTACAGATTCACCGCAGTAATTATAAGAGTTATTCTTATATTAGAATGTCAGTTGAACCATCCCAATTGCACTGATACAAATTTAGAGTGTAAAAAATTGGTTTTATTTTTAAAGAAAGATTTTCCATTTTTCTCGATTTGTTTCTCCAATATTATTTTTAGGGACATTTTTTTCATGAACATTGGAAACTTTTACTGATATGTCTTGAAAATTCGGTCATTGGAAGTTGTATAATTAGCTTCAAGATTGATGAAAAATTTTATAAATTTTTAAAATATATTAAACATTATTTTACAATAATATATGGGTTAAAATTTCTCAAAAATATGAACAACGGTTAAGGATATTTAAAATTTTTTAAAAACCACCAAAATCTTATTAATAAATAAAAGATATTCGAATGTTAAATACTTTTATTGAAAACTAAGAATTTTAGAGAATTTTTCCGCCTACGAATATCGTTTCACTAAATTTTTTGCTAGTTTTCAAAAATTTTATAAAATCCTAGCCAGTATTTCTATTTTTAAAAAATGTAAACCCAAATTTGACTGTAATTCAAATAACAGATTATTTGAACTCAATTTTTAATGTAATTTTTTCGATTTCTTGTAATAAAAAATGTTTTGCGGAAAGTTTAAATGACGATAGACGAACGGAATTTCTTATTAATATATAAAATCTAAAAAAGATGATGTAAAATATTTCTCTGGTCGTCATTTATGTGGCAATATTTACGCAGAAATTTTGAGTCATGTACCTAATTTTTTAAGACAGGGCCATATAGTAATGTGATATATTTTTATTGAGGAGGGATTGGTATGTATATAAATATATCAAGTTATACGCCACGTTTTAAAAGACTACTTTTTTTCTCCGTTTTATATTCTTTACAAGTTTCTTGAGCGAAAAAATATTTCTATATATATTTATATATTGATGCTTATACAGGCGAATCTGTTAATAATGAAACTGTTAATGATGAAATTTCTTCTCTCGTGGACCCATTTCATACAGAAACATCTACATTGTCGACTTTTTACATTATAATTTATAATAGTGAATCTTAAGCACCTTCCTTATTAACAAGTTCGTCTGTATTAAGGTCATGGTATTCAGTGGTCACGAGTCCATATGCTTTTCTATTATAACAAGTACACGAAAATGTTTTTGGGCGAGCTTTTTTTTATTTGAAGTTAATGTTGAACTACATTTTTGTAGAAACGCCGCAGCACCAATGTAGGAAGACCCCAGAGAAGTCTGCTTTACCTTACTAGAGCAACAGTGCTCTCACGAAGGAACGGCAATTTATTTAAATGAAAATACTAGAGGTGTGCAAAATTCGAATCGAACTAGCCAATTCGAATTCAAAGTTTCAAATTTCGAATTTATATATATATATATATATATTTGGAATACCTTTAATAGTAATTTATAAATAAAAAAATGATTCATTTAATTTCATTTAGTAACCAATAGTTACGGTTAATAAATACAATTTCCAATTCTAAGAATTAGTTTTTTATATAAAAATTGCAATATAATGTTTCAAGAACAATTCAAGAATTTTTGTATAATTTAAAAAAAATCATTTTTTGGGGAATTTTAATTTATAATTTTGAATAGGTATGATTATAGTTCTAAAAAATTTTAATGTTATTAGTTTGTGTATGTATTTGAATTTTCGGAAATATTGAAAATAATAACGATCTTTGTAAGAATTAAATTATTTTTAAACAAAATTTTAATAAAATTATTAATTTTATTAAATTTTTTCAAAAAATTTATTTTTTAATTCGTTATAGAGTATATCTCATAAGAATTCAGTTATCTTTTAAAATTTTAATAAATCTCTTGAAATAATTTTATTTTATTTATAAACAGTAAAATTCTTTGCGCAAAAATTGAATTATTTTTAATACAATTTTAATCGAATTTTTCGAAAAATGTCATTATTCGTAAAAATTTTGTTACAATTTGTTAATAACGATTCTTTATCGGAATTGAATTTTAAGAAACATTCAATTATTCAATAAATTATTTATTTTTGTATTTAAATAATTGAATTCTTGTAGAATTTATTCTAATAAAAATTTAATTAAAAATGAATTTCAGTGAAAATTTTAGATTACAATGAAATATTAAAAGCAATAAAGCGTGAATTTTTAAAAATAATTTGATTTTTAAAAAGTTTCATTGAATTTTGTAAATATTATTTTAAATTTTTATTTTTTAATATTTATCTAATTGAAGAATTTAGGAATATTTAAAATTTCGTAATATTGAATATTGTAAACTAATGGATTTGAAAATTCTTAAAGAACTTTTTCGAAAATTATTAAGAATAAGCGATTTAAAGAAGAATATTAGTTAAAAATTCTTGAAAATAATAATTGAATTGATAATGATTTTGTCACTCGGTTATTTTTAATTATTAGAAAACTTGAAGATATTCGGTTATGTTATGAAAAATTGAATTTATAGTTTGAAGTAAAATGTTCTCTTATTTGACTCGGACTAGTTATATTTTTGTCCGTAAAGTCCGTATTTTTAAAAACTTTCACTGGTTCGAGCCCTGTTCACTTTCAACACATTATTGGTACTGGTATGTTATTTATATATTAAAATTATAGAATTAATAAAAAATATATTTACAATTTTTAAGAAAAAGTTTCTAAGTACTAGATAGCTGTATTATGAATACCAACCTACTAATTTTAGGTTAGGATTTCTGTCAAAATAATTGTGCGAATAAAATAACCGAGTTGAGTTGTACAATTCGAAACTCCGATTTTCGAATTTACTTTCGATTCGAATCGGCCGATTCGAAATTCGAAACTTCGAATTCGAATTGGCTAGTTCGATTCGAATTCACACCTCTAGAAAATACGTAAATATTTATTCAATTCCTATAGCATTTCTACAACTAGACAGAGCAGATGATCAACAAAATGTTTCGTGTTGTCACTGAATAACATGACTTAATACTATTAGGGTACATGTAAGGAGCATTCTTTGTCAAAAGTTCGAGTTAATGAAATAAAAGATTTTAAATCCGCTTATACTTTTCGTAAACTCTGAATTCCAAAAGCTGATATAAAAGAACTTTGTGAAAAACCGTAACCGTAACAGGTAGCGTAGAGTGCCCATAATACATAAAGTATAATATATACCATACATCATGTAGGTGGATAATGTATTATTAATTGTTCATTGTATATCACGACCTTTACATAAATCAAAAATCCAAACCGGATTCTCTTCATAACAGTTTTTCCTAGACAATAAACCTCAAAAACTATTTTTGTAATGTTTTACAATTTATTATTCAGATATTTCTCAAAAAAATAAAAAAAATAATGTTTGTTGGTCAATTTGCCGCTTTAAAAAACAGCAGGAGGTAGAAAAGTGAAATTTTAAAGATTTGTTGTCTTGACTTTTAGGTAAAGAATCGTATGGTTTTTGGTTTTTTAAAATTGGTTCGGTTTCTCAAGTTTAAATTCAAAGTTCATAAATTTTATAACAGTCATTTGGGTTTGAAAATTGCAGTATAACATAAAATATTAATAAATTAAACCCTTGTATATTCACAAAGTTCTTTTAAATAGACTTATGTTTTAGAAATGTTTTCCTATCAACAGTTTACGGAAGTTAGAAACTCGTACAAAAAAATTTATTTTTAACCAGGACCATTGAAAAAGAGTGCCCTATATGTACTAATATTGCTTTCGATTTTTAAGTCTATTGTAAGCTTTTCATGAATCTCAACTTCGAATCAACACTTCGCACTTAAAGAAATTTTTACATTAAAATCTTGTCTATTTACTCTTGATTTATTTATTAAAGCTCTATTTTGTGTCAAGAAAACTGTTATTTTTGGTGGAAATAAAGTTCATAAGTATAAATAGAAATTTTTGTTGCTCTATCTGCATGGATAACATTTCTTGCACCTATGAGAACGCAGAACACTTTTTACTTTTCGCAACAATTTTTTTTAATATCAACGTTTATTCAAATAAATCAACTAAGAAGTATTTAACAAGAGAAAGACACAGGATTTCTTTCTAAAAATTTTTTTTTGTGCCATCTTGGAACTTTATGATCTCAAAAGGAAAATAATAATGACCTGTTTCTAGAAAGTTACATATAGAAATCAGATTTTTACAGTAATAAATATTTGTGCTCTCAGTGACATATTTTCCATGCAGGTAAAACAAAAACAATGTTTACACTACGGATACAGAGGCAATTATAGCTCAGACGAGATTTCAAGAACCTTAAATATCGTTTACGTTACAATAACCTCTTTGCTACCCTTAAAACGAAAATAACAATTTTTCATAATATTTGAAGACAATAAAGTAAAATATTATATTTCAACAAGAGTAATTTGGTCCTGAAATTACCAATTAGCCAAAAAGTAAACAGCTTTAAATTTTCAATAAATATAATATTCATTGTATTTTTAAAACTATAACAATTGATTTTTTTTAAATTTGAATTCATACTTTCTCCTTGTTTTTGTTTTTAGACGATTTAATAGAAAACATTTTTATTAACTTTTTAAACATTAATGAAAATATAGAAAATGGCTAAACTCGAATGAGTTTACGGAAGGCCTTTCTAAATTCGGGATTGAACACTGTGTATATTACTGGATTAACAAAACTGTTCATATAACCAAGCCATGTGGTAAAAATAAAAGCTGTTACACCAGGTTGGCAATTTTCATTCCATTTCGTACATAGTGCGTCTGTTAGATTGCATGTGAAGAAGGGAACCCAACAAATCAGGAACACACCTGTCACAAGAAAAACATTCATATTAGATCAGTTAGTGAATTAAACTGATTAAAGATAATTTATTTTTTTAATTTATTAACATTAACAAAACAATTTTAGAAGCGACATGATTACTTTTACAAATACTTTACAATTGCCAAATTCTTCAATTATTTGGTCTTTATTTTATGTTTTTAATATAATTAGGATTGAACAAGTGCAGAACAGGTTCTTGAGATTTGCAGTTCGGACGTGGAGGTTAATGTATCTCTTCAAGATAGCAAGAAGTTTCCGCAAGGGGAACGCATCCTGGTATCTCTTTTCAGAGTTTACCCTCATTCTTTTCAGAGTTAGTTTGAATTTAGTTGCATTACTATCAAATAGATCTAGTTTATCTGCAACGATGTTCGCCTCTCTACTAATCCTATCAATCAAAGAACTATTACCATAGTTGGTTCTATGGGTGTTTTCGAAGTTCACGCTTTCAGTGCTCTAAAAATGCCAAACGTGATTGGTTGAGTTAGTGGGAAGGTGAATTTTGATTGGCTATAACTCTGAATTAACAGTTTTGTTCTCTATTTTGATGCTGTGGATCAATGAACTAAACGTGAAATCCAAGCATAAATCTGTCAATTTAAAGTTTTAGCCAATAAAAATTCACCTTTCCACTAACCCAATCAACCACGTTTGGTAGTTTCAAAGCACTGCCAGCGTGAACGACGAAAACACCCATAGAACCAACTATAGTAATAATTCTTCGATTGATAGAATTAGTAAAAAGGCGAACGTGGTTGCAGATGAACTAGATCTATTTGATAGTAATGCAACTAAATTCAAATTAACTCTGAAAAGAATGAGTATAAACTCTGAGAAAAGATACCAGGATGCGTTCCCCTTGCGAAAACTTCTTGCTATCTTGGAGAGATTCATCGATCTCCACGTTCTAAACTACAATGTTCACGTGCCCTTGGATATCATGGATGTCGCATCAATGATTCGGTAATGCTATAACGTCTTATGTAACTAACGGAGGCGGTTCAGGGCCCACCTTGGTTAGATGGTAGTACCCTGTTAAGGTTCAATCGTCCCTCGATACGGGACAAACAATCAAATATGAGCGATTGTAAAAACATGGAAGAATATCTGCGGAGTAATGCTTTGGCTAAATCGCTCACTGGTTTCGATCGTCAAGCGTCTAGCGTGAGGACTTTTACTATTATTATATTAATTGATTTTACTATAATTGTATTTACAATTTGTAATTACAATTTTATGGCTTACACAAACTAGCAACAAAAAAAGGATGTAAATACAAAAGATTTCCAAGGAAATTTGACATCTTACATATTTTAAGTACCTTTTATAGCAATTGTCAGACGCTGCCAAATTAATTTAAAAATTAATTTTTAACGAACATCAGAAAATATCTCTCTGTAACTGTCTGCAAATATTCACCTAGTCTCCTTAAATATAATTTATTTCGTAATATGATATTTAAGATAATTTTTTTAAAGGTAAATAAAAATGAATTTCAGAATGGGCGAATGATAAAGATTTAGAGTCAAGTTCATCAACTGCGGTTAAGAGTCTATTAATCAATTATTGAAGCTAATTTGAACGCTCACTTTTGGGTGTGGGAGCAACGTCTGTAATATCCGGAATACCTCCAATTGAGTTACTCGTGTTTAAAAGTGTACAAATGAATGAGAGTGTAGAGTCGATGGAATCAAAGACTGAACTCAAATATTAAAAATGTATTATACGTAATCATGTCGAAGTTAATTATTATCTGACCCAGGCACTTTCTGATTATAAATGTTTCTGTAAAGTTCTATGACTACAGGAAAGTTGTACTACAGATGGAAATATTTATTGTAATTAAGTGGACGATGTGGAACACTCATTTTTCATATGTTCTTGCTGGATGAGCATAACAGAAAGATTTAAAGTATGAACCGCAGAAGATTTGAAGTTATAGTCATCACTATAATAATTAAAGCGGAAGAAAAATAATTTACGCCAGGGGAAAAAATAAATAGAAGAAAATAGACAGCACCAATACCAAAATAATGTTGACACGGTTTCCGTTATTAGACATGAATAAAGAGAGAGTGTAGATATATACTTCAAGATATAGTATGCAAGAAGTGTTTTTTAAATAAAGTGAAGATAATTGAAAATGATATCAAATATGGTTTTGCAAAAAAAATTGATGCACAGTAACGAATCAGAAGTTATTCTTAGAAAATATATTCTACAAATATATGTAGGTAATTAAGATTTGTTTTCATTACTTAATTGAACCTTGTCTATTATCAGTGCACGAGGTATTTTATTGAAGGTGATAATTGATCGTGATTTTTGAAAGTCTAGAAATATAATGTCTGAGGTATGCAAAATTATAACAATTTTTACTTTATATAATATAAAATATAAACATGTAAAAAATAGTGTCCTAATAATAAAAGAAAAATATGTTTCGATCATCAATGATGTGAAGAGAATTCAAGCTACCAATACCACAACCTCATCAAGCAATAGCTATACAGCAATCTCTTGCTTCTGGTCAGAATTTTCAGAAATGCGATTGTAAAACTAAATACAGAACCAATAAATGTGCTTGCCTAAAAAATAAAATGCTTTGTAATTCTAAATTCCATTAATCTCTACCACTGACAAAGAGCAATTCCTAGTGTATACAACAAGATTTTAGTGTCGAAATTTGTCTTTAACCACGCATTTACGTTGAATGAGGAAGAAACAATTTAGTTGTCCTGACACAGAAAACTGGTTGGTGCAACCAGTTAAATATTTCGTTTTGTTCTAGAGTATAGCTTAAGCAACCTCAGATCTTTTTCAAAGTATCCTACAATTTCTAGTTATAGTAACCAGAAAAACTACCGCACCGGCAGTATATGTTAGGATTAGATTTTATCTAAAACCTATGAAATATTTCTAATCAGCGAATCATTTAAAAAGAAACACTGCAAAAATACGTTACTGCATGCACTTGTCTTTTTTAAGTCACACGAGATAAAGGATGGTAATAAATATTAGATTAATACAAGTTCAAAATAATACGCGAATTCACATGTTGCACATTGCCAAGAGCCAAGAGGAAACAGAAGCGTAATAAATACTGGCACTGACAATTCAAAACTGCCCGATATGTATATACAACTTACTCCAAATGCTAATCTAACTTTTAACATAGTTGTCCTAACAAGATTTAAGGGTTCAAAATGTGTGGCAGTTTCCAGTTCCTAGTTACAACAAATCAAACTTTTTGGTTACTGTGACCAGGAAATTTTATGCTCTGGTAACCTATCATTCAAGTTGCTCTATATATGCATTTGTGGTTAAAAACAATTTTCACTACGTTCTTGATTGGCATAACCAGGAACCGTTTTTCTAGATAATGCAAATACATTCCTGGTTACTATAACGAGTAAAATAGGTGTAGAGACAGCTTTTTGTTTGCGTAGCGTTGTAACTCAATTTCATTCAACCACTTTTTTGGCTATATTATCCTACTTGCATTTCTTTCATACCTTGCACAAATAAGTAATAATCAATGCTTTAAACAAAGTGAATGCCTAATTATATTAAAATGATTAAAAAGAAGTGACAGATATATATGATAAATTTCTTTAAAAAATATTAAAGAAATAATAAAGTACTGACCTAGTACAATGGCCAAAGTTTTAGTCGCCTTGCGTTCCTTCTTCGCTGAACTTTTTTCTCGTTTCTTCTTACTAGCCTTATTAGCTTTATATATTGTAAACCTAGACCCTGCAGAAGCATTTTTTCTATCCTTTTTTGAAGAGGAAGTACCTGTCAACATACTTGATGACCTCCTAATTTGAAAAGGAAAAAGAGTTCCTGAATTTTTAATTTTCTTAAATTCTTGTTTTTTTGTGCTATTTCCATTTCGCTTTAGCTGTGAATTAGAAGTTGGCACACATCGCGGAGGAGGCGAAGACGATGTAGATGATGAAGGCCCTGAAGTCCCTTTGGGATTTGGGCTTGGACTCGAATTCATCTCTATCGCTTCATGGAGTAATGTGTTACTTGCCGCTCCATCATAACCTGAATCCTTTCTTACTTTTGATTGAGAATTTAGTTGTGCTTGAGCGACGACACTAAAACGACAGCTAAAAACAAACAAAAAATTTATAATTTCTTATATTCCCTGTGGAAATCCATAAATAAAGTGTTAAGGAACATTATTTAAATTATACAGAACAGTTATTTTAAACAATACTTATATAAATAATAAAATCCTTATACACGGTAATTGTGTTAGTTTAATTAAATATTGCAGTTAGGATCTCTTCTAGAGTCGTGGCAGGAGTGGGATATACCGCGCTGTACGAATGAGCTAGATACACAACTCGCGAATGGTAAGACAAAAATTTTTGTCTTAAAATAAAGAAGATTAAGCTTCTTTGGTTACTTCTTTGTTAAGAAAGATAAAGCATTTAAATGCTTTATCTTTTAAAGTTTTAGAGATACTTTGTATATTTTGATTATAAAAATTACAACTTTTATTTATATGTTATATATTTATCAAAAGTACGTTGCCTAATCTTTAATAATGTAAATTTTTATTTAAATCAATTGCAGGTCTGTATTCAGTAATGCATCTAAACTTGACATCGCAAGCTGCAACGAGGATAGAGATCAATGCATTAAGTTTCGGAATGAGGAGGCAGAATGCATTGCATAGGAAGTCAAGAAAATACTGAAGTCCTGCGAAGTGCAATTACGTTGAGGAACGTTGTTGTATACATGCAGAAATGGAGACTTAGTAGTCTTAAAACTGTAAAGGACTAAAAAAAGAAGCAGGAGCTGAAACCTCAAAGACTGTCTGTGAGAAAGGTAGTAGACAAACCGTCGAAACCAAGCTAAAAGAGTAAAAGGAAAAGGTCATAGCGAAAGTCATTAACCACTTGAGTCACTTCCTGATGCTAGAAACAAAAAGTAGTGTAAACAAAACCCACAAAGTAAGGAGACCTTTAGCTTAATGTAGAATGCTCCTCATATATGAAAAGTTTCACCGACGAGGTGACAAAGATCGTTGGAGAGCTTGGTAAGGTGTTGATGTCAGGCCGAATGATCACACTAGAAATTCTCGACCTGGATTGCCTTACTGATAATGCCGAAGTCCAGAAAGTCTTGGTGCAGATTCTAGGAACAGTATCAGTTGGTAAAAAAGTTATAGTCTTAGACCCAAGAAGTGGGACTTGAAGCTAGCTGTTGTAGTCACGAACTTGGCAGAAGTTGAAAAGATGGAAGAATTGGGACACATAAAGCTAGGCGTGTTTTCCGTGCTGTGAATTTTGTTTAAATAGATTATAATAATAGACAAATTACAAATATAAAGATTTTATGTTAGGAGTCAATGAAGAATTAACGTAAATAAAAATAATTTTATTATGAACATTTATTGCAATTGTGATACATATAAATTACATATAAATTAGCGGAATGTAATATGCATTGCATTCCAGTGTGTCTTCCTGTTATAACGCCAAATGAATTCCAAAAAGCAATGTTACATTGACCCATGTTGCAGGTAACCTTATTAACTCTTAAATCCATGAGTTCAGCCTTCGATATTATCTTTAAAATTATAGGTTTTAGAAGTGTACCATCGAAACCTCCACCAGTCAACTCATATCCGACTACTTTTGATATTGAGAATTCTTTATAACAATCATCAAAATAAGCGACTTTATATTCTAGGTATTGTAACATTTCGTAAGAAACATTTCGTAAACCTTGTCTTAGTAGTTCTTCATATCTAGAATTTCCGTAATCAAACTTAATCGTAATGCTGTTTTAATTCTCCTGTTTGACCAATTCGTAAGTGTAGAGATTCCTGCTCTTTGTTGCTTTATTAAATGGCTTATTTGATCCTCTGTGAATAAAGATAGTAGCACTGCTTTGTATGTATTATGTTGTTCTGATTCAAATTTTCTTATTCTTCCAGAATTCGTTGCAATGGACATTGTAAATTATTAATTTTCTCTTTTTGTTTAAATATCAACTCATCGAAATCTTCTACATTTTCATACTTAGAAGGAAGTATTTTTTTCAATAAACCATTCATTTTCATTATTTCCATTTTCAAACTGTTTCTGTTAAATGAGATAAGAAAATACAATTATTCAATTTTGATTATTTATAAAGGTATGACTTTTTACCAAAACTTCATATCTACCTAATCTTCAATTGTTATGTCACTTTGTAATGGAACGGAAGGATAGTTTATAGAATTTGTAGGATTTTTAGGAATCAACAAATTGTCAGAAATTTGATATGAATCATCACAAAATATCTCGTTCAAGTTTCATACTATTAATGTGCGAACTAGGTTTACCTGCACTGCTAACATAGCTACTGTGCACTCTTCTATTTCCGAAAAGAAAATTTACAACTTAAATTTAACTTGAATTTACATAAATAATATTTTTTTTAAATTGGATTATGTAAAATATTTTAATAATACATTATTTTTCTATATACACAATTTTGTCAAGTTCCATACTTTCATAATTTCCAAGAGGAAAATCACTTGTTTGAGTTTTCAAAGTTTACGTTTGTTATTATAGTTATAGTCAAAATTATTGCAAGTATACAATTATTAGAAAAATTATAACCTTCCCTTTTTTCTCCCTTTCTGAGAAAAATTTTGACAGGAAATTTCTGTCGCTTTGGCAAAGTAGGTAATATTGTTGGAACAGAGTGTACTTTTAACTTCTTTTTATTATTTACTATTTCCCACATGTCAGATGAAAAGTGAAACTAAAATTTTTTAATGAAAAACTTAAATATTTTTACGTTAAATGTATCTCATCATGATGTATTTACATTAGTATTATTTATCTTGCATATGACTTTATATACATATATTTAATCAATGTTTAACTGTAGATTTATGGGTTAAATTTTGTACCTTTTACAGCATGTATGCTAAAACTTTAACTATATTTTTCTTGGATATCTTTTTTGCTTGTTCTGGTCAACCCACTAAAAACCACTCCCGTCTTAATCTGGACTATTCTTCAACCCATGGAACTACCTATTGGCCTCAACTTTTTAAGTCTTGCAGCTTCTTTTCTACAAGCTGATGATGATCCCAAAATCTGCATCAAGGCTTCCTGTCCTTTGGCGTTGTCGGTAAGGTAATCCAGGTGACGGATCTCCCGTGTGACCTTTCGATCCGCCATCTGCACCTTACCAAGCTCACTCACAATCCTTGTCACCTCCTCGGTGAACATATTCTTACCTTGTGAGCTTTTTATTTTTATCAGAAGGTCACCTTTCTCTGTGGGTCTTGCTCCCACCACTTTTGCCTGACTAGCATCAGGTTCAGACTCACCTTTAAGCTTTCCAAAGACATCAACAAAACTAATTCCTTTTGCCACCATGACAACCATTGTTGATTGTCGCGGTAACCTTGGTATTTTCTTGTATGGGTTTGCGTTCGACGCCCTGTCGATCCTACCTGTTGACAATTTAGAAGGCTTTACCTCCTTTTTCTTTTTTTCAAGTCCTTCGTCGTTTCAGGACTGCTCAATCTTCTTTTCCAAGACTTCTTTTCTTTTGCCAAAACAAAACTTTGGTATAGACGTTCGTCCGTCTTTTTCGCTTCATTATTCTTTTCCCTGGCCTCCTAAATGAGCGATTTTAGACTTTTCAGTCCCTCCTTAATATTCATATTGACGTTTTTCTGCACCTCGTAGGTTTTCAACATCTTGCAGAATTCCTCTGCAATGATATCAATGCATACTGTCTCCTCTACTCGTAGTTACACTGCTCATTTTGTCTTTCTGTTTGTCCCGCATCAATGATGAACGGGCTTTTGAAGGGTACTTTGCTCAATTTGTTGTCCATCAGTGGCCTATTCGGATCAAATTCTTTAGGAAAGTATATGCTGGTTACATACTTGTGACAATAATAATCTTCTTTGGGAATTTCATATAAAAAATGGTCAGATTCGTTCTTTTGTTTTAAAATCACATGGCATTTATCGCCCACTTTTAAAAATTCGTATGTTTTAGAATAGTTGTAAAATGCTGTCGAATTTACAGTGTCTTGTAGAATTTTTTTTACACTGTTCTCAAGTTACAGTGATCACCGACTCCCAAAACATGGTTTTAAGAAAAACGAGTTCAAAGTTTTAAGTACCGCCGCCTGGCCACAGTAACGGCTGAGACGGCTCCATTCAAAAATCTATATCTCCATAAATAATGGTCCGATTTGTCTCAAATTTTTAAAGAATACTCTTGAAATGTTATATTTTTAGAAAATGCAATTAAAAAAATCGAATTTTTGAAAATTCTAACTGTATGTAACCCCTTAAAGAAATGGTTTTTAAGAATAAACTTAATGGAAATTTTAAAAACGATTTAAAGCCCAAGAACGAAACTTGCAAACTAAAGTATAATTAGGGCACAAATATTTCAGTAATATATAAGTTAAAATATCATACGAGTAAATTTACGATGTTTATAAAAACATTACTATTATTTCTTTAGGTTTTACGAAATTAAAAATAGTTACCTTCCCGTGTGCATCTTGATATGAATATCAATTTTAAAAAATTATATTAAAATAAACATTTTTAAATGTAGGGTAAACCAGACAATTATTATTATTAAATTATTCGGCCACTTAAGAAAATCTTTTTGATGAATACTGTTAAAAATTGCAATAAAAATTTCTTCCACGTGTGATTGTTCCTTATGGTCGTACAAAACTATTAATATTGTTCCTTAAGATCACACAAAACTATTAGACTATTGTCTGGTTTACCCTAACTAATATTTAAAAAGGAAACTTAAAATTTAGATTATAATTAGTTTCAAATATAAAAAAATATTAAAATTAACAATTTTAAAATAAGTTAGTTATAATAAAATAATATTTTGTATATACTTTTTGATAGACTCTCTGATCATTTAGATTTCGAAACGTTAGAGTAAATATATTTTAATTCACTGTCCGAATGTTTTCGTTTTATTTTACTAATTTTTTAATTAAGTTTAAGTAAAATTAGAATATATAAAAAATATCTTACGCTGCCTCCTCGACGACGGTAGCTAGGAAGTACTCTGTACTCTTTTCATTAGAGATGACCACTGCAGGATCTAATGGTGTTTCGTCCTCGTCCTCGTTACTCCCTGATGCCGTATTTGTTGGCTCTTCAATTCCTGGTGTCACGAGTGCTGCTGCTCCTAATGCAGTCTCCGCAAACCTTGCCACAGAATGCCCACTACGTGACCTTAGTCAAATGTCTCTAAAAAGCTTCTACAATTACAGAATCCTTAGCTTTTACTAGCTTCATGCTTTTCGTTACAATATATTCTCTTTCAAGTTAAACTTTTCTACGCTTCTAACAAAATACTCTACACAATTATTTCTACAACTATTACTAGTAAAAATGTTCTTGTTCTTAATTCAAACGTATAATATTGCATTTTGCAAACATAAAAATATTAAGCATTTTCTGGATGTAGGGCAAAATAAAAATATCCGTGTATGGCAACATTGCATTTTTTATGACTCATTAAATAATAATAATTATAATATTAAATAAAATAAAACCACATTTTCTATGACATGCTTAATGGATATTTTTAAAAAATACAAGAATTAATGAGTACATTTATTTTTACAGAAACTAGTGAATTTTCCTTAAATTAATTTTCGTTTTAGAATGAGCACAAAGGGGTAGTTAAAGCAGCGAAACGGGATAACAAAGGAACAAAGGATGAGTTGTCTCAAAAAACTTCTGTTTTTCTTGCGTAGACCTTTGCATTTATTGAGACAGAGCCAATGAAAATGTGGAATAAATTAAAATTTAATTCCCCAGTACTTTCTAAAAAAGCCTTAAAATATTTAAGCATTAAATATATGTTTACTAAATTTTAAAAAATGTAATGAAATCATTATATTTTTCAAAATTAAGTAAACAAACATTTTATGTAGCATGTAAAATAATAAGAAATTAAATAATCGTAAAAGGAAATAATCAAATATTCTGTTTCGAGAAAAGTTGTTCTAAATTTCAATTCTATCGGATTAACATAAAACTTGTTATTTCTATGTTTTTTGCTGTTAGTTGATTTTGATTATGAAATTAAATTTCGAATGTCAAAAATCCATCTACGATTTTCGTCTAACAACAATATAAAGTTTTTTGCAATATGATTGGTTATTATTTTAAGAAACAATGATTTGAATCGGAAGGATTATTTTACTCCATATAGAAACGCGGTTGCAAAATAAGAAATAGAAAAATAATGTAATGCTAATCATATAACAGCTGAGCCCTTAAGCCCTCCGCATACTTCTACCATCTGTGGGAGAATGTTTGTAATCTACCTCTTATATGCTATTATTACATTACTGTTCAATTTCCAGCTTTGCAACCGCGTTTCTCCGTCATTTACAACAAAATTTTAATGTAAAGGAAAAAAGTTCTTGGTACCTTAGATAATTTTATAAAAAGTGTCCGCGCCTAGAAAAAAAACTTAATGGAAAATATTTGTTTATCAATGTCACGTCATTTATAACTATTTATTTGATTATTACACAAATAACACACAACTCAATACAACGGACTCAATTGTTGACTTAGGAATTCGTTTTAATTAGGGTCTTACATTTACACATCCAAGAAATCTCTAAGGCATTAAGAACGTTGGGTTGTTTAATAAGAAACTACGGAAATGTCAGTAATTCTTAAATTTTAATCCAATTTTTCAACTCTTTTGTACTATCCAGATTCACATATATACCAATCATATGTAATCCAATCTTTGACAAAGATGTTATTGATATGGAAAAGATTCAAGAAGGATTTTTATAATACTTAATGTTCAGAAAAACAGGAAGCTACCCACGACCTCTTATTAACTTCAGAGTCCCTTGTGAATCTTCTAGATATTATTAACCCTTTGCGATAACTATACCCAATTCAGCAATTGTATCAGCGCGATAAAAATTTATATTCAACTGAGAAAACTAGGAAAAAATGAGCTGTGGACAAAGAGTTACTGAATTGTAACGATGAGCTATACGATATAGCAATAGCATATACGTCATGCAATACAGCCATCATAGACGCGTAGAGCACGAAGGGAGAGAGAGAGGCTAACAACAGCGCACAAAACACGCGCCTCCAACCTCTAGCTCTTTTCACGCTGCTACAGAGCTACTCCCATCTTGTGACGTCATAAGAGTAAAGAATTGGGTAGATGGGATGATGGATGACAAACATTTGCTACTATTCACTGTTCCACTTACTTGTAGAACCCCAGTAAACTTTTAACTGACGTCACAAGAGGGAAGTTTTGTATGAAATAGAATTGTTTGTTTACCTAGTTTCTAAGGTTAGAAATCTAGGAAGATGTTAGGAGGAGAGAAACAGAGAGTTCAGACTCGATGAGAAAATCGACCAGAGTTGAGACAACCAGAGCAGTAGCCATCAGCATCACGAGACAATCAGCAGAGATGATAGTCATGTTCCTGATTCAGAAAACAGAAATTAAACGAGTCATCGAAACATTGCTGCCTGTCATAACACTGAAGCAGACGACATGGACCTAGCAAGTATTCACAAAGCAGTAAATTGTGTCCACTTTCCGAAGGCGCCAGCTAATCAGAACAACCATCGGAAAGAATGAAGCAGCCCCGGACCAAAGCAACGTTTGGCAACCAATCAAAGCGCCGAGCGCATCCAGAGGCTTTCAATGGAAAAGTTGCGTCAATGCAACAGTTGGTTTTTGGTGCCCGAGACGATTAAGTTGACGTTAGTCGTTCTGTGTAAATTTGAAAAGGATTTTCCTTGTGTTCCCGTTGACGATGTCCCGACGATTTTGAGAGGACGAACGCAAGCGGCTTGAAGGATAGTCTCTCCACCAGGGTGCAAGTTGTCTAGTGAAAAAGAAAATCTAGCTGTAAGGTTAGGTGGGCAGACACCGCATGGCATAGATTATTGATGAATTAGAAAAATTAAAAAACGTAAGGTGAGTTCTTACTGATAAAGACAGAGTGGTAAGCACCACTATTACAGTTGTCAAAGTTGTCAGTATATTGTCATCATAAGATTATTAAAAATCCTAAAGCCATTTAAGAAGAAGATTATTGAAAATGGAAAATAAGGATAAGATTTTAGTAGCTGATGGAATTTGGAACGCACCCTAAGTGAAATCGTAAGTAGCAGCAATTGTTGTACTCCCATCATCCCATTTACCCAATGTTTTCCCCTCATGACCTAGTTCCAGTCAATGCGATTTCTCTGCAAGTGCTCCCTCTCTCTCACCTGATGCTAAGACACGGAGAAGATTTCTCTTGTCTCACTGCAAGATTACCAGCAGCGTTCCGATATTTGAGTTGAAGTTGCATTGATGATGGGGTGGTGGGGATACGACACTCGCTGCGACTTAAGATTTCGCTTTGTGGCAAACTTCGATAGACTTTAATATTTCAGAATGGAAATGAATGAGGATAAAGGTTTGGCTCACGAAAGTCGACACAAGGGTTGATGAACGAAATCTTTTTATACCTCGCTGATCTTTTCGGTGTACGAAGGAACGCTTCTCTCTGATGAGAATTTTCACGAAATCGTCAACGTAACTATAATACCATTCGCCTTGGGTCCGATGACCCTCGAATTTATAATTCTTCTGTTGACCGATGGTCGCGGAAGCTATTAGGCAAACACCTAGCGCGATAAATTATGAACTGGGGAAACAATCAGAAAATGGGATATTTTAAGAAAAGTAAGAAAACGGTATGGATCGTTACAGCTTATAAATGTGGAATAAACACAAACGTTTCACATCAAGTGAGTCTGGCAGGGCATGCGTGCAGACAGACCTTCTATTATATTAATTTGTCTCATATTATCTGTACAATAACTGGATATGCAATTTTTTGAAATTCATTAAATATATCTAGCAGTAATAAACTTGTATGTGTCAAGTCAGTAACATAAGTAGAATGTCATTATAGCTGTAGGAAAAACAAATTGTCATTTTATAAGAATTTAAAAGCCATTGCTCTATACACAACAGAAGGAAAGTAAAAACATGCTTTGCCTGCAAGGAAAATCCATTTTCTATCAAAATTCAATCTAATACCATGTAAATAATTAAGAAAAGAACAAATTAATTAAGTTGTGTTAATTTGTATTTACCTCCTAGCGTGCATGATGTTCTCAACTACATTTCCCGATTTGGAGTCCATAGTGTTTGATTTTCTATTAGCCCTTTGTTTTTTCACTCTGATTCGTAACGCCTGAAATAGTAAAGCAGTAATTACTTTTAGAAATATAAAAACTAAATTTGTTTTTATTTTAAACAATACAATCTTTAACATATATATATATAATATTGTTTCGGATCAGTCCTAATAATTTAGCGTAGAGTTACACTAAAAGAATTTTAGTCGAACAGTTGCGATTGCAACTACTATTGAAGTAGTAGTAGTAAAGCTATTGAAAAAAGCTCTACATTCACAAATCCAAAATTTCGAAAATTTGTTCAATTTAAATACAAATAAAAAATACGTACTTCATATTTTTCTACAAAGAGTGACGCAGTTTTATGGTTAAATGAATAAAAATATGTGATATATATTTACTTAAAGCATTTACAGAAATATAAGTTCGAAAGAATTCAAAGAAACCAACATCGGTCGATTGAAGACAGAATACAAAATAGAAAACCAAAAAATATGGTTATTCTAAGCCCCTCTCCATTGACTATAGTATAACAGAAGTGATAAAGTTTTATAATTGAAAGCAATGAAAGTTTGAAGTCACAGAGCAAAGCCAGTTGCGAATAACAAGTTTTCTAGAAATAATTATTTCTCAGATGAATACAGAACAGCTTAAGAAGTATTTTCGGATAGAACCTAGAGATTTTCACGATAAGTAGAATTTAATAAGTGTACAATTAGACGAGAATATAACTTCTGTTTGTAAGCAATTACTTACTTCAGTAATATGGCTATTATCGACATCCTACTATTACAGATAATAATCGTTTTCCAAATTAAAAATTATTTCTTTACAATTTTCTTTTCTTTACCATTTTCATGACTTCTACTAGTTTTTTCTTTTACTTAGTATTTTTCCATTTACTTGAGGCTTTAACTATTGAGGAAAAATTCATTCATGATTGTTTAATGGCATATGATATATTTTAATATTGAAGGTAACAAATAATTATAATAATCGTAGGGTCCCAAGGTGTGAAGAGGCTTGAGTGGGTTATGATCGTTGACATTCGCGTAACTTCCGAAAATATCCGAATAAATCATTTGTAACGCGGTAGAATCGTCGGCGATGCTAATCTCGAAGTTCACATTCGCAGGTGTCACGGAGCTGGAAGGGTAAAAAATCTGGTAGCGGGGTAAGTAAAGAAGCATTGTCTTCAATATTACAAGCTTGTGCTGATTTCTAAATTTATTTTATATGAATGGAATTATTCCAATTTTTTGTACGGGGTACCGAAACAATTAGACTAGAATTCGACCAGTCGTTTGGGACTAAATAAGAATAACATTGTTGCAAATTTACGAACACGAATCAGTGACGTGGCGTCATCAAATCATTATTCTTTTCGTACGAGTCTTGTGCAAACGGTTTACATAGTATTTTTAGGATCGCTGATTGTTCTGAGATATTGAGACTAATGCAATCTAAGTACACATACACTCACATAAGGACATTATTTTAAAATACTTTTAAAAAAAATGTTTATGTGTATGGAGGATACTAATAACGTATTGATAGAATACCAATACTGAATATTTAGTTCAGACTAAAGTCCTAACCATACTCTCATATCAGAATTAACAATGTTATTTTCTTCAGTGCAATAAAAAATGTACTTTAACAAAAATTAAAAATTGTTTTAGGTCAGATTCCTAATCGACAATCCCTGAAGCACTTCAGTCAGAATTTTCGAATAATTCGAATTGATTCTAAAAAATTTTCCACAATATTAAATCCGTTATTTTCAATTTTGAAAATCTGATGTCAGATTCGTATTTAGCGACCTCAAAAAATAACGAGTTTCAAGCAGTTCTAATTAATACGTTTCTCTTGTACCTTCATTAATTTATTTATTTTAACCCAGTGCATATGAATCTCGTTTGTAGTACAAAAATTAATAAACTAAATATACACTGTTTATTCCATTAAGAGTAGCACATCTTTTTCCACAAGAATCAATGGAAAAAATCGATTTTTTCGAATGTAAGGCCCCTTTTAATTTTCTAGGTCATAAATGGAATTTCTTGGACGCTGATTAGGAATCTGATACAATAGTGAAGAAACAAGTTTAAAAAATTCTTGATTTCAATAAGACATGACATCTACAGGTTTCAGTGCTACAACATACTTTTTACATAAGGTAAGTATATTGAATGCGAATTGTGATTTGATATAACTACCTACTACGGGCAGAACATTAATCCATAGTAAACATCATTTTACTTAAGTCTGTGTCCAGGGCATTTCCACGTTGAAACTGTGGGCAACGGAGATTGTCTGCTATCCGGCTAAAGTTCCTGGATAACGGCTTTGATGCCATCATGGCAGACACAGGTAAGAGGAGAATTACGAGACAGAGAATCAGAAACCCAGGATCGGCAGCTGGTCAGGGTGACAAAGCGGGTCCGCCGGCATCGTCATCATATGAAAGCAGCTCTACATTGGTTCATGACTTGGCTGATGTAGAGTATAGAAGCTACAAGAAAAAAGTCTAAAATTAACTCGTGAGCTCATGATTCTAGTAAGAATCTTGACATATTTTGCTACACGTGTAGTAAATATGAAGTTAGATTCTTGAGAGAAGAAATTTATGATGGAATAAGTAAAATGTATACAGAAATTTTTTGGGTTAAAGATTGATCAGCATACCGAATAGGTTCTGCCTATAATTTGTAATAGTTGCAAAAAATGCTCTATTGTTAAAGAACAGATAGAAATTTATAGTCTTAGGCATTCAAATGGAATAGTTAATGGATATCTAAGAATCTGAATCTAGATTTGCAGATGACAACTGCAAAACCCCCAATTTACCAAGTTGAACAAAAAATTATAAGTTTTAAAACAAATTATACACCATTTGGATCGAATTTTTGAATTTTGTAAAATTGACTTCATGTTCACAGTAAGGATCTCTTATCCTCTTTCATATCAAATTTACCGAAAATTTATTAATTTTAACAAAATTGTCCCATCATAATAGATTCGACATTTTGAATATAATTATGTTTGTGAATATAATTTCAGATTCATAATCAGCGACCTCGAAAACTTTAGACACCAGACTAGAAGTAAACCAGTCAATATTTTTGAAAATTGATCAGTTGTATGATCACGAAGCTTTACAGCAATGTTTAACATTGATTATAAAATTAAGAAAGAAAATGGAAAGTAGAAGAGAAAATAGCACGAGCTAAATTTTTGAATTATCAGTTTAAAAATATTCAAAAATGTTGTTCCAGTGAGAAATCCTTCGCTGTTTCAATTACTGCTTTGCAAAATTGAAAACCCTTAAATTCATTGTGGGAAATTTTTCAGGGATACTGAAAATGTCGTATATACCTCTAAATTAAGGATAATTTGAAGGTAAAAACTTTTGTTTCTACGATTTATTTTTTTGTACCAAATGATTTTAATATTGGTGCACGGAACCCGTCATTTCAGTGAGAGTTCAACTCATACTTGTTCAATTTTTTTCCATCACAAAATGAATCTTCTGGATAAAATCGCTTTTATATAACAGGAAAAATTTACAATACAGAAATTATTGTTATATAAGTAATTTATTGAAAATTTTATATTTTTAAAATAAAATTCCGGGATCGAAAGCAACAATGGCATGAGTATAATATCATGAAAATGATCCAAATCTGATGACCAATGTTGAAAAGGATTCCTATAAAAAATTCCGGAAAAAATTTTACAAGGTTTTTAACTAAATGTCCAGTTGTCTCAAAAATTAAATATTCTTAAAAAATACACCATCTAACAGTTTGTTAATTATTACATAAATTTAATATGATAAATTAAATACAATTGAAAAAACTACTGTTTGTAAAACAAACTTTTGAGTTTGCTCACGTTTTTCTCGAAATTAACAAAAAGAATTATTGTTTTCATTTTTGAAACTAAATATTGACTTAAAATACACAAGCTAACCCTCATTATATATGAAAATAACAACAGAAACTTTATTTTAGGTAAACTGTATTATCTCATTTGAATAGCAATAGAAACATGAATAGTGTTTCAAAGCCGGTAATTGACGTCATGAATAGAAAGAAGATTGCAGTATATTACTTGTAAATTACAGGTACGTTTTTTCTCACGGATAGTTTATGAGAATTTACAAAAATTTAAATAAATGAAATACAAAGATGACTATAATTACTTAAAAAGTTGTTCAATTATAATAATTTTCTATAACAAATTGTGTCAATTTGATTTGTAAATTTGATTCTTAAAGAAAAATAGCTTAAAACTTTGGTCAACATTTATAAAATGAAGGCGGTTTAATATAATATGTTGGTTTAGATAAACAGGATGTATGTATATGTATATTAATATTAGTTACAATAATGGTTTTAACTAGAATACACAAATTATGAATCCTATAATATACTATTTAGGCCTAAGCACAACTAATCCTCTAAATCGTAAATTCTACAAACAAAATTGTAAAAAACGTTTTATTAGGTCTCTAGAATGTTGTAACCCCTTAAAGTCAGGGATCGTTTATCCAGTCGAACAGGGCTTCGCATAAAATGCGCTTTTGATAAAATATTTTATTTTTTAAAATCACTTTTTATTTACCAGAAACTTATTTTACGTTGCCGATGGAAAAAATTGGTTGTGTTAGCGTTTTATTTTTTATTAACGTTATTACTTTATTACATTTCGTAAATTTTTCCGTAACTTTCAAAATAAATGCATTTGAGTTAATAGTGGCAATGCCAGTGGGACAAACGCAAGCATGCATTTGATCACTGTGCGTAACAATCCATCCCTCTGTATCATATGTGTCACAATCATATCAACTAACTTGTTATTCGTTTTGACTTGGTGCAGGTTGTTTATAAAGGTTAGACCTTCAGCTCGCAACTTTAAATAATTGCACAAAGTTCATACAAGTACACTCTAAAATATTTTATTACATTATTACTCAGGCTAATTTCTAATCATGCGAGAAAGTATAAAATTACATTATTACAGAGCAGTGATATTACAGCATGACAAACTTTTGTACGAACATATGTCACGCAGTTTCCAGACACGAAAATTCAAATGTGTTACAACAGTGAAATTGTTTTATTGTAATCTTTAAAGCTTAATAATATTTGTTAAAAGTAGTACACTTTTTTATTTAGTTTTTCGGTTGTGTGATCCACAGTTATCGCTCAACAAAAACGGCACTGGCCGGTTTATCATTGGATGTTTGCTATCTATGGTACAGTTTATTCAAGTTGATTTCTTCTCTAAACTAAACTGAACTAGAATTCTAATCAAAATATAAAATTACTTTTTAACCTTTAAATTTTTTTTATTTCCTGTTGCGATTGAACCGACCTGTGGCGTATAACCCTTTTATTTCCTGGATTCGCATTGCGCTCCGGCTTTTATAGGTTGTCGACAGCACAGGACAAATTATCGTCAGAAAAGAGGGGCAAAGCGTGCGCAATACTCACGTGTTATTAGACAGGGTTGCGACAAATATTTTGCATGCCTAAGGTTTTCAAATAACAAAATTATACTTTTCAAATTTTACTGTTGCATCACAATGTTGAGGTAACATTGCCTCACAATTAATACTACGAAATATTTGGTTCATATTGAAACCATATTCATTATTATACTATGCAATAAACAATACAAAATTAGCAAAAGAAAAGTTGAAAAAGCTCAAGCATTTAAAGAACATATAAAATCAATGAAGATTAAAAAATATATAACAATCTGTAAAAAAAATAAACGTACCAACTACTTTATCACACAACATCAATGATAGAAAAAAATTTGCAAAACACTTTTAGTAACTTTTCAAAACAAAAAGGGTTAGAAACACTACAGAAAATTGGGCAATTCAGAAAGAGTTGGGGCCCATAAAAAGTCAACAAGAAAAAGAATAAGTTTTAACTAACTCAGACAATTTCATCTCAATATTAATATTTTAATTTTACATTTAATAAATTCAGTTACTATGTTGTATTCCAAGAAAAAATTAGTAATTAGGAAGAAAATTGCAAAATTCTATTTGGAAACTAACCACAAATGCTGGTATAATACAAAATGATGATGAAGAACAAAATAAAATCTTCTAGTGGACAAAGCCAGGTGAGGGCTCTATTATGTGAGATTCCTAATTAAGTAACAAAGACATTTAATTGGGATTTCTGTTATTTATCCTCGCAATGTGTTCGTGTTATGCATACACCATCTCGATAGAGTGTACCCACGAAAACGCAAATACACTCGGAAATTGACAACTGGTTGCAAAGAAAGCCTAATTATAAACTATCGAATTGTGTTTCACCCAACGGAGAGTGCCTGTTTGCACAGAAAAACCACGCCCTGTTGGATGGAATAAATATTTATAGTGGTAAGCATGTATTGCCACAATTTTTTATTACAATAGTAGTTTCAACCTAAATTCCTCAAATTAAAATATTTGACTCTACTTGATTTATAAATAAAACAACAACCATTACCATAAGGTTATAAACCGTTTATTAAACAAAAATTAATCTGATTGATATTGCTACAATTTTCCCAGTAAAAAAATTTTGCTTCTGATTGTAAACAAGAAAGAAAAAGCTGTTTTATAAACAGAGGCATTTTCTAGAAAGAATAAAATTTAACTTTTGTTATAATAAGTAAAAAAAAGTTCCACTCACCTTAAATATACTATAATATAAAAAGATCATGATGATGCAGGGAATTAAAAAACTAGAAAGGCTGGAGTACATAATGAAATCCGTATTGTAGAACATGCAAAGATCCGGCGTTCGATCTGGAGTATTGTTCAGGCCAAGAACAATTGGACTTCCTATCGCTGCCGATATCGCCCAAACCAACAGTATCGTCAACCACACTCTTCTATTGTTCTTGTGTTTGGCGTACTTTATCGGACGGGTCACTGCTATGTATCTGTAATTTGAATTCGATAGCGTACGTTCAATGGTGAACTCATTGGTAGCGCATCAGCTGATTAAAATATCCCTTTAGAAACGGATGTTTATCCATATACAACTATAAATTTATGAATACGTTATATGTAATGTAATATAATTGCATTATGGAGACAAATCTTTATAAATGGATTAAGTCCTGATATTTTATATGAAATAGGTTGGTGCAGAAATAGATTAATTGTAAATGGTGAACAGTGTTTCAAATCTACATTTAGTAGTAGGTCCGAATTGTACAGGCACAATTTTGTGTTTATATCAGGTATTTAAAAAAATTATGCATGACATTTAATTAATTTTAAGAAGTTTCAAGATGATTTTTGCAACGTATATTCACCAATAAGAGTTAAAAACAGCCAAAGAAATAAATCTGGATACTTTGGGCTCATGTTAATATGATTTGAAGTAAATATAATACAGAATTGTAATCTTTTTATCAAGTCGAAACAATTTGTCTTTATAAATTGTAAAAGAGAACTTAACAAAGTTTATTAAGAGCGTAAAAAAAGGAAAAGTTGCTTGACTTTAATAGAAGAGTGGTATATAAAATTTTTAATTAAGACCGTTATAGACATCCTAATTTTTCGCTATTGAAAATTTTTTAAATTCATATTAAATATATTTAACTAGCATGATTAATTTTAATAGATTTACGTCGTCATTAAAATTAAGGTCTATACATAATATTTGTTGGAATAGGAGTAAAATAATATTTTAGTAATATTTTCATTACTAAAAGAGACATGCATTATTCCGAATTCAAAATAAGTAAGTCTTAGCTTAACGTATCTTACTGTGATTCGTTAAATTTTTCTTTTATTATTTGAATTTCGTTTTCCGAACTGGAACTTTTATTTCATTTATTGTTCTCCGTTTCTCATGATGCTAGCGCTTAAGTCCTACATCTTCAATATATAGTATTTCTTTTATTTTCTTTACATGGATACTTTTTTTAAAGATTTGTGAAAGTAAAGAGCTATCTTTCTATTCGTCCATTACTTTATAAATGATATATCTTATTGTTGGTTTTATTCCAGAAAGATTTTAAAAATTTTTAACTGATTCATAAATAAAATAAATAAAATTTATCACGTGATCGGTAATATATTTTAACTTTTAAATATTTTATTTCATATTTTTTACATTAATAACTGCTACATGATAACGAACTGGCAAAAAATAACAGTTTTCTAAACTTGTAAGCAGCTCATTTAATATGACTATTAAATTGAACAGTTTAAGTGGATTGTTTTATTAAAATTAATATTTGTAATAGAACTAAGATAGAATGTCAGATTATTTGGTAATTCAAAAGATCCTTCATCGCTGAAATTAAATTACACTCGTGTCGCGTCTTGACATTATCTCTATAATTGCCTACATCTCATTTTTGGTGCACTATTAACAACAGGGAATTACGAAGTCCAGCTATTTATCTATATACTAATCCGAGATAAGGGACAAATTGGAGGCTCACCAATTTGAAATGCATTCACAGCAATCACGGCAAACAATTTACGCCACGGAATTTATTATTTCATTGTCATTTGCAATTATTGGTAAGTTCGTAATTTTTTAAAAGAATTTATTTTATTTAAGTTGTAAGATTGATACTATCACTCAGTCGTAATAATAATTATTACTAATAGAAGAAAATATTGAAATGAATAAATATAGACATTTAAAAAATTAATTGACGCATGATAATTGTAATAGATCTATAAACATGTTTAATTTTTAGAACAGTTAGAAACTACTGCGACCGAAAAACAAATGTTTGTCGATGAACGTGATGTTACTGAAGATGAATTTGATTGTGCTTTTGTCCATGATAAAATGACCGCTATCTTCCTGTGGTCGAACAAATGAATGACTTTACTCCTTGTCGTAAGTTTGATCATAAAGGAGTATGAAGAAAGAAATGTCCATAATAAAGCCGTCTTTTCATTTTTTAATAAAACTGTCAGTATAACGCTCTCAAAGAAGCTTGCTAGCTTTTATAATATAGCTGGAGCAATAATAAAAAGATATCCACTTCTGATTACTAAGAAAGGTGCAAACAAAGAACTGGCACGTAGAATGTTAGAAATATCACAAGCTCTCAATGTTGTTTAAGCTAGAGTGGAGGTAGATAATCTGCGTTTAAGACATAGTCAATGAAGACGTTTAAATCATTTAGATGTTCTAGAATTTCAAATCTTGACTGAAGACGATTTGAAAGATTTAACAGTAGGAATATATCAAATAAAACTAGCACCGTCTTACATTCAAGATAAATTGCAAAATACATAAAAAAGAGTTTCAATCAGATAAGCACTTCAATGAACCAGGTTTTTATAAGAGTCAGAGTCTACTCTCCCTTTCGCTATACCTGGAAATACTAAATATATTAATTTGCTCTTCAAAAAGAATAAAAATATTAAACTAATACTTCGTATTCCTGTTTGTCATTTGAATTGAAATTATTAAAATCATTATAAGTTCTATTTGAACGTCATAGTGGAAAGACTTTTCACTAAAGAATAACCAAACAGCAAGAATGGAAAAATTGGATTCATAGAACATCTAGTGCCTTCAAAGTTATATGATGAGGCTATCAATAAGGAGCTAGAGAAATGCGAAGTATTGAGAACGGAAGAAGCTAAAATTATTTTACGGTTAGAGGATAAAGTGCATAAAAATTTAAAGACGGGTTAAAGAACCGTACTAGCCATTATCGGCCCGGTAAAGACGAAGCACAGTGCTGGAAATAACGGTAACAATTGGCTACAATTTGAATAGGCTACACAGAGGAGAACAAAAAGTTGAAGAGGAAAAGAAGAACATACATTCAAGTTTGAATTATTAAGCGAGTCTACATAAAAGCACAAAAAAGAGAAAGAAATCTTATTAGTCCAGAAGCATCAAATACGCTGTCGAAAAGAAAAGAAAGCACCTCAAGAGAAAATGAATGCTCAGCTGACGGAGAATCCAAAACCTAAGCAAACAAAAATGTGACATAAGATTAATATCTGTTATCCTGTCCATCAATTCAAAAATAGTAGAAGATTTCATAAGAGACATTTATCATACGTATGAGTAATATTGGTTGAGATAATATATAAGATTTATTTCTCAAACAAAATGGATTGAATACAATGTCCAGTATAGAAAGACTCGAGATAGGAGGGTTAATTGCAGTAGTTGGGGTAAGAAATGAATTATGTGGTTATGAAGTAGTGTCTAGATTATGAAAATCAACATACACACATTTAACTAAAAATACTTCTTTAGAAAATATAAGCTTGTGTGAGATACGCTGCACTAATATAAAAGAAATGATAGTCGTATACATAGAATTGCCTTGCTGTACATTTTCGAGTGCCACAACACGACTCGACTCTGGGTACGTAGTGCAGCCCAAAGAGAACATTGTAATTATAATTAATCTAATGTTAATTAATATTATTGTTATAATATTATTAGAATTATTTGCAAACCGAAATGTGACATGTCGGTTGCCTCGCCTCATTCTACTTTACGTCATCAAAGCATGAGGGAATATGGATCCAAAAATAACAATATCATCTAAGTACACGAAACATACACTACCAATCATCATACACTACCATTATTGAAAAGCGTGATCCATTATTCTTTGAAAGGTGGCTGTCTAAATTTTCAAATTAAATGGCTTTTCGTAAAAATTGATAATGTCCACTCGATATATAAAATTTTGTTTTTCTGACTTTCAATTTCCATTGAAATCTGGTGAAATTCTGTTAACAAGTCGAATGCTGAAAAATATTTGTCTCTTCCAAAAAAAAGTCAGAGTAAACTGCATCAGTTTGTGAACCTTTTTCCATAATCAAAATTACAATATTAGTAAACAAAGCAAGGTTTGTCAAGGTAAAACTTCCCTGAACAAATTCATGATGTTCGTTATTATGCTGTAATATTAATGCAGCATAATAATGTAAGCTTTAGCTAAATCAGCATCCCAGCAGCAAGTACTTCATCCGCACTTAACCCAGTGAAAATTCAAATTAATTGTAAGAAACCATCAACTTTTGATTGGACAGGTTGAATCAGAGGTATTAAAACTTTTCCCCATCACCTACTTTCTTTACAGCTTTTCGAGCCATTTCGAAAGCTAACTTTATTGTTGATCGAGCGTTATATTACCAGGAATTATTGATTTTCTTTTATCATCCGTAATTTTCCTAAGATTCACTCGTTTTTTCTTATCTAGCCTTCTTTATTCACATTCTGAATTTTGAATTCGATTTCAAAGTGTTTGTTATTGCGTAAGCTGTAACTGTTTCACTATGCGATTGCACCCTTAGTACCGTGACTTTTTGACAACTTTATACCTAGTCCACGATATTGATAACCTGGCAAGCATAATTCAAATAGTAACTTCCTTATAATCCTATTAATAAAATCTTTTTCTGGAGATCGATGATGTATATCTGTATAATCTGTTATAGTATCCTATACAGTAAAATCTGAATGTAGAATCACTCATGAGCTATTAAAGTGCTGCATTTATACCTTTGGAGTCAGATCAAGAAATCGCTTCAATTTATCTTCTGAGAGGTGAAAAAAGTGTTGAATTAAGTCTTTGTCAAAAATGATTTTTTTGCGCGGTACAAGTGAAGTGGTCCCTAGAAGCGTTACTGGAAATTAAATTTCTTAAAATATATTTGCTTACAACTCTTCAACCCCACGTGAAATCGACTGCTTCATGTTTTCATTATACCAATCATCTAAAACGGTTTAGAGGAACATGCTGGTATCCTTAGTTAAAAAAGAACAGTCAGAAGTTAGTTTTGACACCTGATTTGTGTTCAGCGCATCCAAAACCAAAGAAATACATAACCACATGTCAAATTATTGCTGTAAACGTATCGCTACACTTTTAAATGATGAATTTTCTAAATGTTGAAGGGTTAAACATTTACTGTTTATTGATCAGTCTGACTTGAACAGTTTTGTTTTATCTCAGTCCATTACCTTAACACAGGCTATCACAAATACTAACATCAACTCAATAATTAACAGAAAGCGGCAGTAGAAAGTTTTGAAGTGGAATGGAGTAGAATCTTTTCTGCAATGATAAAAACAGTGAATGATTTATTATCTAAGGTGTACACTATAACTCTAAAAGTTTTCTAGGGTATCTCAATTGTCCCTGACTACTCGAGGAGAATGACAATAATCAAAGGTACTCTCAAACACTTGCACGTAAATTATTTGACTCGCAGTTACATATCTAAAATTCAAGAGCTAAGTATACTAAAAATTATATGCATAAAAAAAAGTATATAACTTATGTAAATTGTTAAAACAATAAAAACTTCATTATACAACAGCTTCAGTTTTTCACTTCACTACAACCTATTCAAACTTTTTACCTTTTATTTAGTAGCTATTTCTAAAGTGTATTACATAGGATAAAAAATAACTTAATATTTTTTAATTAAAAAAATAAGCAATTTAAAAACACAGACGTTTCGAAAACATGTAAATAGACTTGATAAGTTCCCACTTCTTTCAACTGCACAGACCTTGCATTTAAAAGAGTTTTGATCTTAGTGCGCTGAAAAGTTTCTTTAACTACTTAAGTTACTTCAACTATTAAGTTTCTTTTAACTTAATATATTTTTAACTTTTTTCAACGAAATTCATAATAATTTTATAATTGCATAAATTATTATAGATTTCTAGAAAGACAAGTTTTCCTGAAGGTAGACCTCTTAAATGTTCTATGATAAATGACAACTAAGGATTAAATATTGTAAGAGATAATTAAAATTACAAGAAAAGCAGTTTACATAATACATTACAATTATTCACAACCGTATATAAAAAGAGAACTCACCTGTCGACAGAAATTGCTACCAAGTTAAAGATCGAACTTGTGCTGCACATCACGTCCATTGCAATATAAAAGTCGCATACAAATCCGGGAAGACTCCATGCTCCATTATTGACCTGACAGGAAATAAAATTTATGTTTACTTAAAATTTGTATCTAAAACAGTTTCTTATTAAACAAATGTTCTACAAGACCGAATAGTGTTTTCAGTTTTAATAATTACTTTTGTTAAAACCTCTTTAATAATTTCCTTAATAGAAAAACAGACATTTATTTTGGCTGGAGTTAGAGAGTGACGGTCGTGATTGGTTGTGAAAATGACATGATGACGGTAGCTACTGGCTAAAATAATTTCAAATTTTTGTGCGCGCGCAGTTTTGAGGTTCTAATTTTTCCACGTTGTGGAGTGCGAGTATTATACATGATACATGATGAATATGACAGACTACAAATATTACAGATTACAAAGTGAAGAACACGTGTTTTTTTCTTAAATATTCTTCATCATTCTTAATAATATTCTTAATATATGGGATGATAAAAAGTGAAAAGTGACAAATCAATAAAAAAATATATATAAAATATCATAAGTGATCAGAAGTGAAAAAAGTTTTGTCATTAAAATAATAATAAGGATTAAATTTTAATGGTAAATATTCTTTTTTTTAAACAAAAACATTAATATTTTTAAAATAAACTGGATGCCTATTTCAGCTTTATCCAAAGAACATTAAAACATGTAAATTATTTTCGAAATTATATTAATTTTACTATTAAATATAATAGTAATAAATAATTTATCACATAGTAATTTAGTCCCAACAAAAACATCTTTAATGTTATAATATAATAAAAGTGAAAAGATGAAAAAAGTTATAATAAACTGATGAAAAAAATCTGTAGTGTTTTTACTTGGTAATTTACATATTGTGAACACAATTAGAAATTAGTGAAATAATCTTGCATAATTGTTGTGTTTTTTAAATTAAAGTTTTCTTTTTTCTCAAATGATTAGGAGTGGGCGCGAGACATCGTTCTATGTTTAACAGATATTAATCTGTGAGAGTTTCATATCGCAATTGTAATAAAATTAGAACGTGTGGATAATATGCATAAAAATTTTCTCGATGGATTTTTGGCATTAGAGATTTTTTTTAAAATGCTGACTGTTCAATATTCCCTAAATTACATTCAAATTTGTAAACATTGTAGGAGCGTCTGCTCTTTTTTTCAACTAGCCTATTGTGAATGAACAAGACCAAAAAGAAGTTCTAGAAGGTGCTGAAGATGCAGAAGATTTATTATATAAGCCTGGAATAGACTATTCAATGAAAGTTGAAAAAAAAATTTTACTATGAGTAAAGTGGTTTTGAAACCTTTTTTATGAACTCGTTTTTCTCAAAACTATGTTTTTAAAGTCGATGAGAAACATTTCTCGAAAACGATTGAACCGATCAGTCTCAGACTGATCTGCATATTTTATAGATATATTCATAAATAATTTAGTTACTCAGGGATTTTCGAGGTCGTAGATTACGAATCAAATGTCATTTTTTCAAATTTCAAAATAGCGGACGAATTTTCAAAAATCGCATAAAATTTTTATTTAATAACTAGTCACTCAGGGGTTTTTAGGGTGGCTAACTACGAATCCGAAGTTAAGGGGTTACGCCACCCTGAAATTTTCAAAAAATTGATTTCTTTTTTATTGCTTAATTTCAAAGTTTATATTCTAACGAATATTTTGAGATGTCTCCGAAGACAATGTCTCACTAATTACAAAAGTTATGGTCATTAGAAGTCAGCGCGGTGGGGACGCGCCAAGAGCTGCTGGAAGCAGCGACTTTCTATTTTCGAATGGTCTAGGGGCCCTTTCATGATTTAGGAAGGGTCTTTTTCAATGTATCCCTTCCATTCTTGGAGAAGAATATTATGGCCCAGGAATTGCTGATTAAATAGTAAGTTGAAAAATTTTCAAGTTATAATACACTATAAAGTTCATTTTTTTCTTCTTTTGCGTTTTTCTCGAGACGGTGTACACGATAACTCAAAAACTATTCAATCGATTGACTTGAAAATTAATATACATCTTCCTGAATAGATTTTCCACAGAGTAACGTGGGATTTTTTTGATTGAATAATTTGAAAATTTTTTATCCAATTTTTTATACGGTACTTTTAGCCAAAAAAAAGTCAATTTTTGAAGTGCTTCCATTTTCGTAAAAAAAAATTTTTTTTAAATGGCTTCGTCACTCTGTTCAAAATTTATCACTTTTTAAGAAAAATATTGTTTTACTTGTTTCAGACAAAAATTGAACTGCCAATCATGTACACCATCAAGGAGTGCTCCGGAAAAATTGATCCACGCCAATAGTTATATCGTCGCCATTTTTAATTAAAAAAAATTTTTTTTAAATATTTATAAAGCTCAATATATGTACTAAAGCATCAATAAATGTAAAGAAGTCCTATCTGAAACAGTTTTGTCAAAAAAATTCCTAAAAAAGCATCCGATTTTCATGCGTTCAGGGTGGCGTGACCCCTTAATTAATTTATATAATTGTTTTGAAAAAAGTATGTCAACTTTTGTAAGCTTTTTACTTAAAAATGTGCAATACACCGAAATAACATTGGAACCAATGTGAAAATACCTGGAGATTGGGTCATGCAAACCTGTTGGAAAGTATAAGTACTTGCAAAGTCACCTCACTCGAGGAACGTCTGCAGAAAGTTACACAACATCAGGCAGAGATTAATGGTTATAAGATTATAACCATGTTACTCGGGCAACAATTTGGCTTTGCAAAGTACCCCTGTTATTTGTGTATATGAAATTGTAGTTAGTAGAGCCAGACAGCAGCATTACAAGGTAAAACATTGACCAACTAGAATGTCTCTCACACCTGGGTCGCATAAAACCCAGGTGTAGGTTTCCTATAAATTCGTCGTAGAACCATTCAAGATCCTACATATATAAAGCTAGGTTTGATGAAACAATTTGTGAAAGTTCTTGATAAAGCGGGTAAAACGTACTACGATGCATAACACTCGATCGAAGAATATAGGAACATTACTGACAGCTCTAGCGGAAAGTAGAGAGAAAAGGAGAGGTTGTTAAATTTTCTCTCAACTGTGAAATTTTAGGTGTTAATTTTTTTAGCATTAAGGAACCTTTGTTACCTAGAATTTTATTCTTCGGAGATATTGAATAATTTACAATTCATTTTCTTTTTTCAATAAAAATAATTTTCCCTACCGCCATGGCAACGCGACTTGTTTTTCTATTTAATTTTTATTCTTTTTTACTGTTGATGAATTATTTTTTCATTAAATTAAGCGTAGCACCTTCGACTAGCTTAGCAGAATGCAGCCTAAAGGCGAGAGTCTTTATCGATCTAACTACCTAATTGTAATTAAAAAACAAACATTTTCTCATTAAAATCTGAGAGTATATTTTTTAAAAAAGAAGTCAGACATTTTTATTAACAATAAAAATGTATATTTCTACATTTTTTGTTAAATGAGCTAAGATTTTAGAAATTTGTTACCATCATATAGGACAATAATTTCCCAATGTATCAAGCCAATTCCAAAACTTTTAATTTTTAGCCAGGCATTTAAGGAAGAATGCTCATACACACGTATAAAATATCTCTTAGTGTAAATTAAAATTTAATTAAAGTCTATTTTATGTAAGAATGATTTGTATTCCATAATGTATTTAGATTATGTCAAGTTTTTTATAAAATTAAAATGTTAAGGCAGAGTATTGTAACGTGAAGTTGACACATTCTCAATCAGTTATCTGTCATATACAGATATTTGCGAAAGCTGCTTATATATGTATACTTCAACTTGAGGTACATAAATACATTTATTATTGAGACAGGAGTCATAAAACTATTTACGCGAATAGAAATTAATTAAGTCTAACTATGTATTATGTCAAAAAATTTTTTAATCAAATGAAAAAGGCATGATCATCAGTAGAAGAACAACTATCAAAAACATAATCATTAACCAGAAAAAAACTTGTTCATGTATTTTTTTTAAATGAACTGTGTTGGTAAGAGAAAAGTCTTCAAAAATGACTATCAGAAATTATGTTTCATTTTAAACGGATTTTTATCACAATTCAAAAAGTTATCGTGACATTAAAAAAACAAGGAATCTTAAATGTTTGTAGTTTAATTTCTTATTGTTAATTACATTTGTTAATGGTTTCTTTATTGCATTAAAATTGTTGGTATAACAATTATTAGTCACATAAATATGAACAAAATCGATTGAAACGCCTCAGGTTCTCAGAGTTAAGCATTTTTGAACAGAAATTACTTTAAACTTTAATGTCCGGTAAAATCTAAAACTTACTTTGAAGTGTCAAATTAACTTCATCTATGATATTTTTAACAATAATAAAAAAATAACAATGAAACTTTGTACAAACTTGTGGGAAGTCTAGCACATTAATTTACAAATAAAGCGAAATTATTTCAACTTATTGCTTTTAATTAAATTGAAATGATACATTACATTATCATTAGTTATAAATTATTTGTGACAATTCAATATTAATATATTTGAAAATGTTTTCAAAGAGATTAAAAGCATAATTTTCACATATAATACATAATTTAAATTAACAATTCATCTAGTTATTGGAAAACTGAAGTTTCTTGTTATTTTATTAAAATTATTAGGTTGACTATACTAGTGAATGTATAATTTGTGATTTTATTAACTTTGTAATGATAATAATTCATTTAAAACATTATTTCAATTACAATTCAAAAATTTATTCAGAAATATTTCAAATTAATTTCATTCCCAAAAAATTCTCTCTTTATTTAATAAAAGTAACGACAGGTCGAGTTTGAAAGTAAATTTTTATTTAAGTCAAAAAAACCGTATTTATATATTTGATTTAAGCAAATATTTAATTGATAATAAATAATAATCTAATAAATTTATATTTTCTGTGTACAATATTATTATTATCAAAAATATTAATTTGGAATTATGTTTATAATAGCTATTTAATAAATGATATTTATTGGTGCATAAATCTGTTAAACGTACAATTTTCAAAAATATTATTTTCAGATAAAGAACATTT